GAAAAGGCTAGCTGAAGAGTTAGACAGGAAAAAGTCATTATGATAAAACGTGAGCATGGTTAATTTAAATTAGCTGGCATGTCATTTAATGAAATATTGTAAATATAAATAGCATAGTAATAGTAACATTAATAACACTATTATGCAACATTATCATATTTAAACAAATAGTTTTGTTTTATTCAAATGAAAGATGAGACATAAAAAGGTCACAAAGACGAATATATCATCCTTGCTAAGAATCACCCAAGCCTCATAACTGAAATATTCAGTGGGAAAGATTAAAAAGACATTTCTCCATTGTACAAGGTTGCACAAAAAGGAAGAGGGAGCAAAGACACAAATGAGATTTACAATTCTGCCTTTGTTGCAGTAAAACTGAGCTAGTGCAGGAATCCAGAACAGGCCCGGAAAGTCTTTTCATCTGGAAAATTTTAAAAGAAGATAATGGAAAAAAAAAAATTACTAAGAACGAGAAAGTGGGGGGAGGAGTAGAATAAAAAGGAAGTAATGCTTCAAGATGCAACAGGCTTATCAAAGCCCCTATCTGAAAACCCAGTGTTTTTCAATAATTGTTGTATGGTTCATGATCAAATTTGTATCTGATAAGTGGGAATAATGTTTTCAGAAGCAGCTGCTCCTCTCATGCCTCAGCTGCAATTTTCAGTGTCAGTACTTTTTCTGATTTAGAAGTCAAATGGAAATGGTAAAAAGAGTTGGCTTAGAGCCAGCTAAGGGTTTGGTGGGTTTTTCTTCCCCTTCTCATTGATATCAAAACAAAACCAAACTTTCAGTGTCAAGAAGAGTCCCAGACAATCAAAAACCAAGAATCTCATTTCATTCACTGATAACTGTAAAAAAGAGCAAAGGAAAACAAAGCCTAGCTTCACAAAGTCATCACTGAGACTTTTCCTTTTCAATGATATTCAGTGTGGTTTAGATATTTCCTTAGGGTCTGAGAGCCCCTGAAACTAAACCCATCTCTACCTCATAGGATCACACCTTAGGAAAGATGTAAATTACCAGTCTGAGGTAGAACTGGGTATAAGGAACTTTTCAACTCTGATTTTAAATTATCCATCACTCCTAGTTCATTTTTTTTTCCACTGTATAATACAATTCCCTCCTTTAAAAAGATAGCAATACTTGTTTATCCTACAAATGTGCTGGAGGGATGTCTGGGAAGAATGTGGGCAATGAAACCTGTAGGGTAAGGTCTAAGTAGTATTAATTTGGAAAAAAATGTCCTTCAGTTATTCTAGAAATATGGCAGAGGCTGATCATTAAGTTAGATTGTTAAGTATGAAGCCAGAAAATACCACACCTACCAACCTGGCCCACCACCTCCTCTCTATGTCAGTGGGTTGTCATCTCACTCCTCTCTCACTCCTACTTATTGTTCTCCTCCCCAGGTTGGCCAGGCTGATCCTTCTAGACAGGGCACAAACACAGCTTTTGCCCTGCTTGTTAAGGAGATTCTCATCTCATCCTAGCAGTTCTTAGTCCTCAAAGAAAAGACATCCTATAGTCAGAAAAGCCAACTCCCTGTTTTCAGTAAGAGTTGTCCAAACAATAGTTGACCTATAGGATCCATTCATTCCTCAGACCCTACTACCTCACCAGTAGGACTGAGGAGAAACTACCTGGGTACCCATGTCTTTGACTTGCCCTACAGCAGTGTAGTCATGTTTGATAGGCTCCACATCTCCCCTGACAGTATGGTTGGTGTGCACGTGGAAGAGCAGCAGGGAGTAAAAGTCTGAGGCCCAGACAAGACTCAGATTGCTCCCCACACCATCCCAGCTCTCAGTCCCCCAACAAACCTCCCCAGACAGCATGTTGTGGCAGCAAATGGGAGCTTCCAAATCCGGCAGCAGGGAGTCCTCAACAACTATCACTCCTCACCTCCTCCTGCCTGGGTCAGACTCGGCCAGCTCTGATGCTTTGCTGGAGAAAGCTGGAAGCTCTGGCCTTCTGGTCTGCTCCTAAAGCACTAAAGATATTCTGTAACTGCAAATATCACTCCTGTCTCTGGTACCTCCTCCAATCATCCATGACCTTTCAAAACTGCCTTTTGTTATGGTTTCATGCAGTACTTAGAAGGATCTGCATCTGTTTTCTAAGTGGTGTGATAACACCAAACAAAGTCTGGAGAAGAGAAGGCTCCGAGGTGACCTTATGGTGGCCTTCCAGTATCTTAGGGGGGCCTACAAGAAAGCTGGGGCGGGACTTTTTAGGATATCGAGTAACGACAGGACTAGGGGGAATGGGGCAAAGCTGGAAGTGGGCAGATTCAGGCTGGGCATGAGGAAGAAGTTCTTCCCCATGAGAGTGGTGAGACCTGGAATGGGTTGCCCAGGGAGGTGGTTGAGGCCCCATCCCTGGGGGTCTTTAAGGCCAGGCTGGATGAGGCTCTGGGCAGCCTGATCTAGTGGGAGGTGTCCCTGCTCATGGCAGAGGGGTTGGAAGTGGGTGATCCTTGTGGTGCCTTCCAACCCTGACAGATTCTGATCTGTTTTGGCAGAGGACTTTGGAGCCCTGGTGGCTCGGTGGTTGGACTTGATGATCTTGGAGGTCCCTTCCAACCTAAATGATTCTATGATTCTATGATAAAGTAATGATCCTCATTACCTCAATACCGTAATAATGGTAAGAGTGGGAGTTTAGTGACAGGTTCTATGCTGCCTCTATGGTTCTTTTGTACTGTGATAACTCTTAAATATATATGGAGACTTATTTATGTTAAACGTTTATTAAATCAGGTTAGATATCAAACCACAAACTCTTGGCTTATAAACTGCTCAGTTTAATGAATGGACTCAGCATATTGCATTTTAAGGCAGCTCTTCAATAACATTACAGCCACCTGCTGGAACTCAGTTGCAACATAAATGTCAAGTTTCACGGAACACATTTTTGTCAGCAAGAACATTTTGTTATCTTTGGATTCATCACTGGCTGAAATACCGATCAGATCTGGCTACTACATCTGATAAAGCAGTACGAGGATATGAATAGAACACCAGCAAAGGAGATCACTCCCTGTCCCAGCAGAACCTTCTTTGAAATCCCAGCAAGACCGACCTAGGATTCTAAAGGCAGATAGTCATTGCAGTGTTTGGTTTGACACGTCACAGCAGGCTCAGGTCATCACAGCACTGCAGTTCACCAATCTGTAAGGAAAACAGATCTGCTGTAAGGATGGATGAGACACCACATCACTTGCCACTTTTAGGAAAAGGCAGCAAATGAGAGAAGCAAAAATAAATGCATTAACTTCAGTGAATTCAGCAACTTTTTTTTTTTTTTGTCACTTCTACTTATTTCTGCTACATCTTTTTCCTTCACTTCTGTTTGTATCCCTGCATTGCTGAACTGCGTTCTCCTCTCTCCCAGTTCCTTTCAGGAATTCCCAACCTTCTGTTCTGTGTCTCCTCTTCCATTCCCCTTGTCTGCGCTTCCTCCATTTCCTTTTGGTAGTGACTTTCCTTCTGGCACTAAACACAGTAAGCTCATCTTCTCTCTTCAACCTCCACTTCCTTTTTTTTGTCCATTTCCATATCCTGTGCCTATTCCATCTCAGTTAGTGTATTATCATCTCCTTTCTTTCCCAGATCCTTACAAAGAAGGTATGTGAATGGAAATGGTTAGCTGAGCAAAGGAGCTGAAGCCAGAGTGCTTCCAGTTCTTCTCCTGTCTTATATCTTTTCTACCATCCTTTCTCTCATGATACGTGCCTATTCTGCTGCAGAATGGGTAGTATAACTAGTGAGGAGAGCACTTGTCTCTAGCAGCAGTCCTTGGGATTGAAAGTACAACTAAATTCGCAAAGGAAAACCAACAGAGACTATAAATTTCAGCACCTAAAATGATTTGAATAAACTGCTTTGTTTTAAAGCTGTTCTTCCCTTGCGGATCTTAATGGGAAGCAGAGGAGATTAGGATCTTTGAAAATGACATGCTTTCACTAAAAGCCTCAGCTACATGAGTTTTAAAATTATACCAATGTCTCCTAACTCTGAGGCATTATTTGGTTGTAATTTCTATGGTGTGCCTAAAATTTTCTTGGTTTAAGTACACACCAAAAGTCACTGCAGTTAATAGTTTTGGCTAGCATAGATTTGGCTTGCTCTGTAAACAAAATGTTCCTACAAGCATTCTCTCAGAGTAAAGGCAGTGTGGCAAAAGGCTGTACTGGTTAAATGCTTCTCATACTAGCAGTAGCTTAATTCATGCTGCTCTTGTAACTAAGATGCCTCTATCTCCAGAGCTCAGAAGATCAAGACAGGAACAAATTTGTGCTAGTCATGCAGCTAGCTGCATTTTTAAATCACAAGCCCCCAGGAATGTGGGAAGAAGCTTCATTTAATGGCAAAGTGTTCTGAGTTAACGTATTCTGCAAGCTCACGGCAGTAACAATATTCTTCTTACAAAGCTAATGAACTCTATTTCCTTAGGGTTGAAAGTTTTCACCTTGCACTATAAAGTTACACACTCAAAAACAGTGTAGAGTAGGGAAGCGATCATGCCCTTGTACTCGTCACTGGTGAAGTGACAGCTTGAGTACTGCCTTCAGTTTTGGGCGCCACAGTATAAGAAGGACATCGAGGTCCTGGAGTGGGTCCAGAGAAGGGCAACATAGCTGGTGAAGGGTCTAGGAAACATGTCTTAGGAAATGTGGCTGAGGGAACTGGGGTTGTTTAGTCTGGAGGAAGCTGAGGGGAGACCTTATTGCTGTCTACAAGAGAAGACAGAGCAGTCCTAAACTGGTTTCTTAGGCAAAGACTTCAAGCCTGTTGGCTGCTTACTAAAGGAAGAGGTGGGTTAGCTTTGCAAAAAGATACCAAGTGTTGATCACTATAAAATGATGTAGGTGATTTGATGAAAAAATAACACTGAACAAAACTGCAGTCCTGTAAGATGTATGCAAACTATAAAATAACTTTAGTCTGAAATTTTAAAATGTGCTATAGTGAAAGTTTCTTATTGTTGTCTCTTACTTTTAATTCCTGCATGCCTTGAGTAGAATTGAGGCTGTAAGAGTAAAGCGTTTCTGCTTTGCGACACTGGTTTCAGGCTTCCAATGGAGAAATTCTTTTTCACACTCCAAATTCCTTCCAGAGCCACTGTTAATAATTTGTCAAAATAATACCATTATAACTGATTACTTCAACTTGTTCTAGAATTACTGTAACTTTTAAGACAGTCCTTTTCGTCTATACAGTAATTTGAAGCAGTTAAGCAGAACTCTGTAACCTTCCTCCATAGCTACTGAAAAGAGATTGACATCTTCAGAGAGCAATTCAGATTGCTAAAGGTTTATGATGCTCTCTGCTGTCAGTAGAACAGCTTAGGACTGTGAGGCTCCTAAACAAAGCAGGATACAGCTGATGTATAATGTATATGAAACAGCAGTAACACCATTGATGCACCCAGCATGATATATTGCTCATAATGGAATACCAAATGCCCTCGTAAAAAGACAGAACAGCAAAAAAAAAAAAACAAACCACGCCAAGAAAGAAACCAAAACAAACCCACCACAACCAAAACAAAACAAAAAGATAATTTATTTTGTGGAAAGGTTACAATTTACTAACCATCTAATTTATGCAAAATTATAAACTTGCTAATCGTCTAAACTGTGTAAATCAGTAGCTGTCCAGACTGACAGTTGTCAGTTGAGCCCAGGCCACTTAGGGAACTTCTCTAATTCTCTAGATGAATACAGGTGAAAAAGAAACTAGGTACTTGGTGAATAATCTGTACACCAACATCTACTTGACCTTATTTTACATAGCATTGTTATGCTATGCTTATAACATATTAAGCTACTATTTATACATTGAGTTTGTTATACATCCATATTATAACTTCCTTATTTTTGTAGTGACTCGATAATATCTTAAGTGCAAAATATTTAAAATGTGTATTAAAAATGGTGAATCTAAGTGAGCTTTGTTAAACTGTTCAAGCATTAAATTCTTTTTGTTAACCGCTGATTACTTCTGCTCTGATCTCACCAGATTTTTACCTTCAGTTCTCAAAACTTTTAAAAGATTAGGCAAACCAAACACCTTGTTTCCTCTTAACCTTCCACTTCCTCATTTGCCTACTCTATTCCAGTCTCTTCATAACCTTTAAGCTGCCTAAACAGATTGATTTTCTAATTGCTTTCACTGTTCTCCTGTCCTTTATCTATCTATCTATCTATCTATCTATCTATCTATCTATCTATCATCTATCTATCTCATTTTTACCTCAACTCTCTCAACAGTCACTTGAGTTTTGAGCAGCAGAAGGGGACAAAGCATTCTAGTAATTCCTGCACTTCTTTCAAAGAAAAAGGTGACAAAACTTCCCTACTGCTTGGCATTTGTTTCTGTTTTATTAAACTGATAGATCATACGGAACTACCCATGTTCTCTACAGTCCTGTAATTCCAGACTGAAAAAAAAAAAAGGCAACAAAGACCATATGTAATTCTTCTGTTTCTAAATGCTCCCCCAGGCTATTACATAAATCATAGAATTGTTTAGGTTGGAAAAGACCTTTAAGATCACAGAGTCAAACCATTAACCTAGCACTGCCAAGTCCACCATCCTGGGCTGGTTTTTTTAATAGAAATTTTGCCAGAGTTTCTCCAAACAATTTATATTCCATTTGCCCTGATGAACACTTGCCATTTGCTGATCAGGAGGGTTACCTGCAGCTGGATGTTTAACATGGCATGCTTCTTCCCGAAAATTAAGCTCTTCTTCGAGTATTTCTTTAACTCTCCTAGATGGCTCAACATACACAAATTTCTTCCCTTTTAGTAAAACATATTACAAAAGAATCAGTTATTTTAAAACAACTAGTTATTTTAAATCCCCTGAATTCTAACATTACATTCGTGCAATATAATTTTATGCTGCTCTACTTCTATCTCTAATATGCTTTAAGATAAGTTGTGTATAAATAGATGATGTTCCGCCAGGCCGTGCTCCCCGACACGGAGCAATGCCTCAGGGTACATGCCGTGGGTAAATCCCAAAGGGAGTGCTGGTGGGGTGGGGCCCGCAGCCAGGAGCCAGGGACACCTGGGAGACAGCCGCTGGGT